AAAGCATTTGCTACCTAGTCAGTGGAGTCTTTCACTTACTCAATTTCTGGGAAATATTTAAAAAGTTTTGCTAAGGCTTATCTTTTAATTATGCTTATTACAATTTCACTTAGAGAGACCTTGTTAAAATCTAATATGCTCAGGAAAATTGGAAACTTAAAATACTGCTCTTTTCAATACACTTTGTATAATCTTTTAAGCAAAATCCTTTATCTTAATGTATACTTTATATGTTTTTGGTCAAGTGCTGGAGCTGCACATTTAGTTCATTCAAGTGATGAAAAATGTCCTCCGTATAAACCTAAAGGACAAAATCAGATCTTAAATATGGAACTGGCGAGATGAAGTATTTTCTCCATCAGCAGCAATGGTGGCTCATGAACACGTGCTCGGTTATGGAGAAGCAGAGAAGGTGAAATTTCTGGATGCATAAATTGTGATCATACAGTTTCAACCTTCTCTGCTGGCTGTGTTTAGATCTTTCCTGTTTTTGTCAGTGACACTCTCATTTTGCCGTTCACATTGGCTTGAAACCATAAGACCACCTCTTTATCAATCAAACTATAAAGTTATCTCTGACCACTTTGTGTGGGGCCCGGGGGTGAGAAGGGAGGTTTTAATGAACTCTGAAGGTATTTTATATATTTAATCAAATATGAACGAGGGGGAAAAAAAAGCGTTTGTTTTTTTTTAACCTTTTAAAAGTCTTCCTGAGCACCATATCATGCTTAAAAAAATAAAAAACCTAAATGAATTAATTTAAATGTCAATGACTTAGAAATGTAGGGATTACTTTGCCCCCAAACCATCCATGTAAAGAAAATGATGTTTTGCAAAAATAAACATGGCTCATTATTGATTCCATAACATTTGAAAGGTGACAGAAAGAGGCACTGCCTGTTCAAGCCCAGTAGAGTCCACGTTTGCTTAGTGATCAAATGGGATGCACGGCTCAGCACAAACATTATGATACATGAAGAAAGGGACCATGCGGGCTTCGTACAGCTTAGCTCTGATATTGGAGCATGTTCAAGGCCATGTCCTCCAGGTCTATGTTTGGTTCCCACCGCAGAGGCTCCCCTTGGGACTGGGGCTGGGTTGTCGACGATGGGGACGTTGGCTCGGTCACTCGGTGACTTCTGCAGTGTATCTCTCCAGTCACAACAACCTCCCCTTTGGTGAGAGCTGTCCCTCACCCCATGACCCTGGCATCCGTGTCTCTACTGTGAGACTTAGCCTAGATTCTCTCTGCCAAGAAAGTAGATTGGAAACCAGGAGAGTCTGTCTCTGTATGGGCTGAACTATTATGTGTGAATGCTCGATTGTGGGAGCCTATGGTTGGCCAAAGGGCCTAGAGCAATAAAAGCAGCTGGTCTGTAGGGACAGAGATGGAGGTAGCACCGAGAGGTTGGGAGAGGGAATCCCCTGACTTCCGGCAGCCATTATTCATGGGCTCTTGGCTCATTTTCTAGGCCTTGACTGTGTTTCTCTGACCTTTGGTTTTAAAATTCATTTCTGGGATTCTCATAAGAAAGTTTTCCTTCCTTCTTTCCTTCCTTCCTTCCTTCCTTCCTTCCTTCCTTCCTTCCTTCCTTCCTTCCTTC